CTTCACCCCCTAATTATCACCTTATTCCTGCTGCTGCTGCCCCTAAGAATGAACTCCTGTACGAATTTAAAAGGTCAGAAAAATAAACAATTTGTACCAGTGCTTAACCAGTCTTCACCTTTATCCAAGGGAAAGATACTGATGTCCAACAAAAAGCTTCAATGGTGAATGAGAAGGGGAAAACGGATAACAGAGGAACAGGCAAACAAAGCTCCAGTATGGGGAGGAGAAAATAAAGGTTGAAAGGACGAATTGTGGAGAAAGAAGGGGCCAAAAGCAAGTAACGAAGGGCAAAAGAGGATATAACTGTCAAAGCATAGAAGGGAAAAACTACATGGAACACGACAAAAGGAGAGAATATACCCACCTCAACCGTACAAGTACAACTCGACGAAGCTGGCAGTTGGTGCTTAACAAGCAGCACTGTGATGAGCGAAGAAAACTGCAAATGAAATAGTTCCGAGTTAGATACAACATATGAGCAAAGAAGGATAAGATGCAGAGAAAGCAGAATAAGGTGGGAAAAAAAAAGAATGATCGAAATGATTATTGGACATCAATGGAATGCACACAACACTAGGAAGATTTTTTGACCCATTCCAGACTTCGCGACGCCAAGATTTCAGTCATATCCGGAGAGTCGAAAGGACAAAGGTTACAAGGAATAATTTTCAGGCGATATAGATGATCTATTTCATCAGACAAACCCTTGTACAAGCAATAGACGATGCTCAGAAGACTATTTTTCCATCTCAGCGTTTTTTTTTCATTATACAGCTTTTTCGAAACGTGTTTTTTCAATAGTGATTAGAGTCGGTAATTTCCTTTCTAGGACTGTGTGAAGTAAATAGAAAAGACGTCGTTTTCTCTACGATGGGCGACGCTTGTGCAAGGTGGCAACAGAAGGGGGACAGATTCGCTTCCAAGAGGTTTATAAAAAACACTGAACACGTACCTCAGTAAGGAGAGCACAGCACTTCCGAACAGGCCCGGAGAATACAACTTCGTCCAACAAACGGTGTCTTGAGGAGGAGGGAGGAGGATCCAGAAGACGCTGCTTCCAGTGCGCAAGGATGAGTTTACACAACAGCGAAAGGGGACAGCCCAGTTGGTGCTGTAAGGAGCCTGAGGGGGTGATAAAATGTTAGGTATTGAAAAAATATGAATAT